GTCTTGGTAGGTCCCCGGTGGGACAAGAGCATCTCAGTAGGTTCCTGACAGGAGGACAGCATCTCAGTGGGTCCCTTCCTGGCAGCATGGCTCCTGGGGCCTGGCTTGCAGGGATGTCCCCAGGGAGCCCTGGAGGACTTGGCTCTGGTAGAGAAAAAGCAGCTCCAGGATTTCCTGGCCAAGGTTTCCTGCATTTTCAGATGCACAAAACATGCACAATTTAGTAAATATGTAAAACAGTTCTATGGCATAGTGGGAAACTGGAAGAAAACCTGGGGTTTCTACTAAAACCACGGACGGGATCGTGTGTAACCAGCCTGTGTTTCGCACAGTCATGTGGAGGGTGGTGTTGGGGCCACATCGCTTCACATGAACCCAGTGAGCACAGCCTGGCCCCAAATTCTTTGGCCTGAACTTCTGAAAGACACGGATGGACCCGTCTCCCTGTGGACAACCGTTCTGTGGACTCTGTCCTCTGTCCCACGGCCACATTCAGTAGGTTTTTGGGCAGAGACTGCCTTGAGATTCAATGACCTTGTGTCTCTGGTCCCTAAACTGTCACACACCTGTGCTTCTTTGGGGCAAAATGTTTTTGTTTGCCTAGCTTGTGACTTTTAACAAGACATGCGATTTTCTGCATATCTTTCATTACGTAATTACTGAAGTATCCCAGACACATTAGTTTAACCTCGCTGAGCCTGGAGAGTGGTTTAAAATGTTCAGTTTTGTGGCTGGAGTGAGGCCCCAGTAAAGGAGACACTGGTGATCATTGTTTACAAACAGCGGCCACCACAGAACCGAGGGCGCGGGTGGTGGATGTTTGTGAGTGGATGTTAAGGGGAACTCATGTGAGGAGCTGTGGCCAGGGCAGGGCATCAACCTTCACTTAAAACACCAGCTGAAGGCAACAGGGACTGGAGGAGGCCGCGAGCTCCGTGCCACACTCGGGCAGCTCTGCATTTCCTCTTCGGGAACACCCTGACAAGAAGGGGAAACAGAGGTTCTCGGCGAAGCTCCCGTGACCAGCACAGATGAGCCAGAGAGCCCAGGAGCGGCTCTAATGGGTCAACCACGTCCCCTGCATGGACCTCCCGGACCCCGGCTCTGTGTCCTCTGTGGATGGAGGACGTGGGCTGGGTTGGCCCTGGGATAAGCCAGGACTGGGACTACCCTGGCCAAAGCAGAGGGAGGGGACATGAATGAGGGGTCAGCCACCCCCGTCCTGGGAACAGATGCCAGACCAGCTGAGACTCTAGTTACAAATCGAGTAGTAACTTCAAAGACCGGCCACCACTGCGGGATGCACGTCAGCACTAATTATATTAAGATTGGGTTGTTGGCACAATTTAAAAAGAACAAAGGGGAGCTGGAGACACTGTGGGAATTCTCACCTTCCTGTTCCAGCTGTGCTCTCAGCATCCCTCTTCCTGCTGACTCCTCAGGGGTAACAGCATCAGGACCAAGCCCAGGCCACACTGAGAGGGATGCACCACCAACTGCAAAGGGTGTGACTGCACTGTCATCGTGGCCCTCATCTGTCCAGTATTCCTGCGAGGCCCCTGTAATTATAAGCAGATGCCATGTATTGTTTGGCCTTTAAAAATTGTGGCACAATATATGTAACAAAAAATTACCATTTTATTCATTTTCAAGTGTGTAATTCAGTGACCTAAGTGTCATATTGTTGTGCAAACATGGACACCATTCATCTCCAGGACTTTCTCATCTTCCCAAACCGAGACTGTCCCCATTAAACACTCACTCCCTATCCAACCCCTCCACCCCCGGCACCTCCATCCCGCTCGCCGTCTCTGTGACTGTGACGACTCTAGGGACCTCATAGAAGTGGAATCAGACAGTATTTGTCTTTTACGATTAGCTTCCTCCACTTAGCACCACACCCTCAGGTTTCACCACATCGTACATGTGTCAGAATGTCCTTTTGAAGGGTAAATCACCATGTTGTATGGATAGACCACATTTTGTTTGTCCGTTCACCCATTGAGGGACTCTTGGTTGTTCCCATGTTTTCACTGTTATGAATAATACTGCTGAGAACATGGGTGTACAGGCATCTCTTTACGAGCTGCTTTCAATTCTTTTGCATACAGATCCAGAAGCAGCATTGTTGGGTTATGTGGTAGAACCATGTTTTCATCTTTTGAGGAAACGCCCTACTGTTTTCCATAGTGGCTGCATCATTTCACATTCCCCCCCACGCAGGAGAGTTCTCACCGCCGCCCTGCTGTACCGACGCTGGGTGTGGCGTGTGTTGGTTAGTAGCAGCGGCACTGTTGGGGGTGAGGTGTTGTCTCACTGTGGCTCTGAGCTGCGTCTCTGGACAGTGAGTGATGCCGAGCGTCCCACTTGCTGGTGGAGCCTCCGTGTGTCTTCTTTGGAGAAATGTCTATTCAGGTCCCTTGTCAACTGTTAAAATCAGATCATTTTTACTGCTGTTGTTTAACTGTGGGAGCTCATTCTGTATTGTGGACATTAACCCTCTGTCATCTGTGTTATTTGCCGGGTTTTCTCCTGTTCCATGAGTGGTGTCTCGGTTGCTGACACCATCTTTCGATGCACCCGTGTATTCAGTTCTATTTGCCGGGTTT